AGCCCGCCTGAAGAGAGGAATGACAATTTATTTTCAAAGTTGTTGATGAGGTCAGGAGCCCGCTTGAAGAAATGAAAGGCGATTTATTTTCAAAGTTGTGGTTATGGTCAGGAGCCCCCCCCTGAAGAACAGAATGACGATTTATTTTTTAAAAGTGGTTGAGGTCAGGAGCCCCCCCTGAAGAACAAAATGACGATTTATTTTTCAAAGTTGTTGGTTGAAGTTGGGAGCCCGCCCATATAATAGAGGAATACATTTCAAGTCAGTAAAGCAGAAGAATCCAACCGGAATCCCCAGCGGGAAACAACAAGAATCCCCAGCAGAGGAAGGACGTCCAAGACTCGATGGAAATATAATGCGAAAAGGAAATAATCAGTTCGAGATCGGTAGTCAAGGGAGAATACAAGACAAATCGGAAGTAAAGAAATACTAGAGGAGTCACCGAGACATCAAAGCAACAAGAGACACAAGAGCATGATCTAGATAAGATTTTGTAATTTATAGACTATGGTCTAGTCTAGCTTCTTGTTTTCTTTAAGCATGGTGTAATAAGGAGATCAACAAACAGTAAAAACAGCATGCAACAGCAGTAACATTGCAGTCCCATGGTAGTCCCAGCTACCAAACTTCCCGAACTACATTAACCTGATTCCCTTCTAGCCAGGGATATGTAGGAAACCTTTGAAGCAAAGATTCGGTTAAACGTTTTTCAAAAAATGCTTCACACGGAGTACTCGGATGGGCAAAAAATCACTCACTTTATCTTTGCACGAAAACTCTTCGTGTCTTCGGACAAAGAGGGGCAGCTGTAAGCACGTGATTTTTGCCCTATTTGAGAATTACTCCCGAAAAATTCCAAAAATAAAACAATTTTTTAATTGTTTGCAATTGTTGTGAATTTTGTGTTATTTTTCTTGTATTGTTTGCATTTTGTCTGTGCATGTTTATTTGCTAAATTAATAAAAAAATACAAAAATATGTCGCATTTGCATTTGATATTTAATATAGTTTGTTTTACAAAATGAAAAAATCATAAAAATAATGTATGTTGCATTTTTAGCATTTAATGTCCAAATTGTGTGATTTTATCGTTAATCAGCATTTAATTGTGTGTTAATTGTTATTAAGAGTTAATTAGTATCTCCAGATAATTTTGAGTTTTATCATTTAATCTTAGCATTTTAGCTTTATTATTTAGGAAGTTGAATAAAAAAAAAGAATAAAAATAGAAGAAGACCGGATTGGGCCTTTTCTTCAATTTTAAACCACAAGCCCAAAGAATTTTCCCAATGACCCGGTCTATTTCAATTTGGGTCGACCCGGTCCGCCCCATAACCCCAAATGACCTAACCCCTCCTATCTTCACTTCATTTTTCCTAAACCTAAACCTAAACCCATCCGCGCCCCCCCTCTCTTTCTCTTCACCCTCACCATGAACAACCCCTCCAAGCGTCCATGGCTGCTTCCTCACAGCTCCTTCACCATCTCCATCATCCTCAACACACACATGCCATTAGCCTCACTCATCGCGCCTGGTCAGTTGCTTCATCAAATCGTCGAAAATGTCGTTCAAGAGGTTCGTGGAGATCGGAAGAGTCGCCCTTGTCAACTACGGGGAGGACTATGGGAAGCTCGTTGTTATCGTCGATGTCATTAACCAAAAATCCTTGTGAACCAAGATAAGAGGAAGCAGTCGTTTCCCTTGGCTAGCTTCAGCAACCAACGAGCTTCTCCTTCACTCTTTGAACTACCCCAGACCACCATCACCCAACCTCTTGCTTCGTCGAGCTCCAGCCATGGACGTTGGGGCTGCTTCATCTTCTCATCCCAAACGACCAACAGCTCGACCAGATTCACGACGCATGACCATGGCTGCCCGCGTTGCTGCTGCTGCTTCATCCAGTTTCTGCATTGTCGCCACTGTTGCTCCTGCTACGTCCAGCCATGGACGAGCTGCAGAGTCGCTTCTGCTGCCTTCTGCTACGTCCAGCCATGGACGACCACCAAAGCTGCCCTCCGTCGAGCATGTTCAGCAGTAGCAGCTGCTACTGCTTCACCGCCTCCTCGCTGCCACTGCTTCGTCTTCAAATGACACCAAATGACCATCTTCTTCGATCGTCCGTTCGTGGTCGTCTTCGGCGTCAAGTTATTTTGGTGCGATAATTGTTTCCGGGCAGATTTGTTTTCGTTCGAGTTCATCGTCGTTCTGATCCGGTTAGTTGGTTTAAGTTTCGTTTCTGTCCGTAATTTGTTTGATATTTTCGGATCTGAAATCAGTAAATGTTTGATTCTTGTTTTTGTTCGTGTTTATCGTTTTTTTGGTTTTTTTTTTCAGTTTGTTTCATTTTTTCTTGTTTATTTTTTAGGTAGAAATTGTTAGTTTAATTATAATGTTGTTAGATTTAAGTTGAAGTTAAATTAATTATTTCTTCAGTTTGTTTTTATTAATTTAAAAAGATTTAGTTTTAATATAGAAATATGTTAGTTTGATAACTTGAATCCGTCATCTTTGTTGTTTAATATAGATTTAATTCGTGTTCATTTTTTTGTTTGAAGTTCGTTTTTAATCCAGTGATTTAATGTGAGCTTATGTTTTGGTTTTTAATTTTTTGATTTAGTTTGAATCATTCATCTTTGTTGTAATGTTGTTAGATTTAATTTGAAGATCAATTAATTATTTAGTGATTTGAATCCGTTTATTTGTTCTGTTTAAGTTTAATTTGAATTTGAGCTCAATGATTTGAATATACTTGTTGTTATTGTTGTTGAATCTGAAAGTAGATTTGTTGTTTAAAAATATTGTTCAGTCAAAATAATTCCAGTTGTTTCTTTGTTGTTCATCATTTAGTTTGAATTTGTTGATTGAATTTGATTAAGAATTGGTTATAGTTATTGTATTTTGGTTAGAATTGATTAGGTGAATTGGTTATAGCTGATGGTGGTAGAATGGTCAATTGCAGTATTTTCAGGGGTAAAATGGTAATTTCAGTAATTTCAAAGGGGTATTTTTGAATTGAAAATCTGAACAATTTTTTATTTTTAGTGCTCTGTCCATTAAAATTAAATAATATTTAAATAATATTAAAATAATACGTAGTGGGGGACAAGACATAATGGTGAGAAATTTTTACATTGTTTAATATAATGGGGGACAAAGCATGCGGTAGTGGGGCAATAAGTGATGTGTTAATACATTGTTTAATATAATGGGGGACAAAACATTAGGTAGTGGGAAATTAAAGGGGGATGGGTAGAAGATAGTGGGATTTAATTTTTAAAATGCTGAAAGTTGGTAATAAATAGAGGGGTTGGACACAAATAAAAGGGGCTGGATATTGAAAAGGGAGGGAATTCCGAAAATATTAAGACTTCCAAAAAATAAAAAAAAATATTCTGGAAATTTAAAGAGAGAGTAGTATACACTTGATATACAATATAAATATTCTGATATACGGATTCAGAAATTAAGGGTTAAACATTAACTAGTCTTTCAATTTGAAAAGATTCCCTTTGCTTCTGCCCGTTGATTGTTGTTGGTATTTCTGGATTTTCATTTGGTTTGTTCCCTGAGTTTGGTTGGTTATTTGTTACTACTTCACTGGTTGTTGCTGGATTTCTGTTCGATTTTTAAAATCTGTTACTGGGCGTTGTTGCTGTTGTTGTATGCTACTGCATTTCTGCTGATCTTCCTTTTCTTTTGCTTCCAATATCAGGTACACAACTGACATGCTGGTTACTGTAAACTGAAACATGTAGCATGAATATGAAATGAAGAGTTGAAGTTCTGAATTTATCTTAATTATATTCTGAATTTTATTTGTATATATACATTATTTAGCTTACTCTAATCAGAATCATGTAGCTGTTTAATATATATAATGGAACATCTGACGGTAGCTTAGCAGACGAACTATCTATGTATTGCCTAAAAATAAATAAATGGTGTAGTAACTCTGTCTAGTTAATTCGTTATTGTTGGGTGATTATCATGTCTCAAAAAACATGTTAGCTGATTTAGACTATTTTTAAACATTCAACAGTTAGTTCATTAAAGGAATAGATCATTTCGGAACTTGTAGGAATATTGTTTAGCTAAATACTATTGGTTAATTTCAGCATGTAAAACGGTTTAGGATTAAAATTAGATTGCCAAGTTTTTTTTTTTAATTTAACAAACTGTGAGCATGCCTAGTATAATGTAATTAGGTAGTAACATGTGAATGAGATGACCCGGGTCCAGTTTGTACCAAACACATTGGGTCTGGGCTCGCATTGGCAACGGACTGCCCTACTTGCATCATTTTCAGATTTTACGAATCATATTCGGAACC